TGAGCTACCAGCTTCTAACATTCGAACAAAAACGGTTGTCTAACTAACTCTCACTCACCAGCCAACTTTTCTCTTACTCTAGCTACTAATTTGTCCTGCTTATAACACCACGGCACGGATCGCATAGAAAACATCGCTTCCAATTATTGTTGTATCGTCTGGTTGCCATGGAATTGTTGCGTTCGTGTCAGATGGCGGAGCCGCTACCTAGTAACGGCTGTTGTATAGTTGGTTATTTCATGGTCGTTGCCTAGCAACGGGTCTACATGTCACAATACTTTTGGTTCCCCATACGTCCTAATGCCGTATGCACAGGAATAATTTTACCTTTCCCTTACAAACACGCAGTTTCGATACTGAAAGCGTCGTTAAATAACCAACTTATTCCATTTAGGCGCTCTTTCACTATTCATCTCACTCCGTAAATAACGCCGCACACATAAGCACAACACAGGCGAAGTGAAATCCCAGTTATCAAAAGTGGGTCAGGCGCAACTTTCACGGTGGTTTTACAGGCACAGTGAGTGATCCAATTCAAGGTCAATGCAACGCAACCCGCATATCGTAGACGTTGGGCGTTGGCTGTGCGACGTACAGAAAACAGGTGAAGGCACGAGACTGAAAGGAAGAAACAAAAGGAGAAAGAATCAATCGAAAATTATCTACAGAACTCTAAAATTAATCAGATCCATTAATTTCAGATCTTCTTCAGAAGCCAACAGTTGTTTGTACACTCGGGAAATTCCCAGCATTTCAAGAAACTACCGCGTTTACAAGATTCCACAGATTTACCTTATCCTAAGCTAGATGAATCCAGTCCACATCCTCCAATCGTATTTCTTTAACATATATTTTGATATTATCCTCACATCTACGTCCAGGTCTTCGTAGTGGCCTCTCTCCTTCAGGCTTTCCTTCCAAAACCCAGTATGCATTTATCTCTTCTCGTTTTCCTTTCATGCGTGTTACACGTCCGGCCCATCTCATTCGCCTCGACTTTATCATTACAGCACAGCAACTGTTGCTAGGGAACTGACCTGTGGACATATTTCTCTGGCAACGAGGGAACACGCAATAATGGAAGAGACGTTTACTGTGCGGTCCGTGCGGGGGCTATATATCGATGCTTAAACTTGGCGGTGGTCAAGCTTAGGACCGTTCAAGTAACTAAGCTGCCGTTGTAGTATAGGATACGTATGATAGGCATGATCTGCTTTACAAAGCCTGTACTGACAGAGGGCTTCTGTGTAGTGCAAAAGGAAGAATTCTCATGGACGAAGAATTCTCAGTAATATGCTATACTTGTATATGCGATACATAAACTCGACGAAAGGCCAAGCATATTCATAAGAGACAAACCAAACCAATCTTCTTGTAAGAGAGGATGTTACGTAAGGACCATGACCGTAAGAGTTCAGTAGGGGAAATATTACTGTTCGTGAGCCTCATGGAGCCTGTCGCTTAGACCAATTGATTGGCGGTAAACTGCCAGGCGTAAAGTAACTCTGACTTTGACTTTGACTTTGAGTTCTTGTAGAGTCGCTAGTGGGTTACAGTTGTGAGAAATAAGAAGCTGGCAGCTGAGGCCGGGAAATATTCGGGAACCCAGGGGAATGGGAATATCCGCCGTTGGGAGTCACTACCAAGCAACGGCTAGTGATGACAGAAGACCTTAGGTGTGCTGTAGTTACAGTGATCTTTGGAGTGTGTAACTCAGAGAGACTGCCGTAGTTATTTGTAGATATATGTTGTTTAACGACTAAATAAATCCGATTATCAATCCAAACTCCGTCATAATCACGTGACAATATATCGCTTACTAACAATTGCACCATTTCTTCAGTGATAGGTGTCTGTTGAATCCGCAGTTACTCAAGTCCATCCTACATATTAACCCTCTGCAGCTTTCAGTCCAGTGCCCTTCCTTGTATGGGGGTTATACTAGGTATGTATTACATTGTGCTTAGCTCAGTGTGGATCGGATTTATCTGGCTAAGGATGAGTACCAGTGGAGGTCTGTTGTGAACAGGACAATGAACATTGAGTAGCTGTGCAACTGGTGGCTTCTCAAGAAGGGCTCAACTCCATGGAGTTAGTTACTTATACTACACCATTATATTTCTTTAAGATCCATTTTCAGTTTATTTCCTTGTTTCCAAATTCATTTAATTATAATTTTATTTCTTTCGATATTAAATAATGTGTGGGAACTGCCCACAGTCAAGCTAAGCAATGACGTTTGCGTTGTCACACTTGCTTGACTGTGGGCAGTTCCCACAAATGTATGTTTTTAAAGGGATCAAGTTGAACTAGTCTTTCCTAACAGGATTAGGAAACCTGATCCATGGGATTTGAAATTTCCCTTCTAGTACAGTAAGTCCGACAGCGCTTAGCACTGACAGGGTTGTGGATTGCTAAGTCGCCGGTACTTGGTCCGCTCTACCTTCCTCGCTCCCGGTCCACAGCACCGCATTAAAGCCTGTAGTAAGTCCGCGCCATAGCTCAAGCAGTTAGTCACTGGATTCCCACCGCGGCGGCCCGGGTTCAAGCCCGCGTCTGATCAAGTGGGATTTGTGGTGGACAGAGTGGCGCTGGGGCAGGTTTTCTCCGAGCACTTCGGTTTCCCCTGCCAATCTTAATTCCACCACATTCTCCATCATCATAATCACCCGGGGCAGGTACAATAGGCCAATCAGTGGCCGCCGTGCCGAGTGGACCCAGTTGGACTCCACCCCCCACTAAGAGAAAAGAGCCTGTAGTATTCTGTATGAAGTTATAGAAGTCCTGCTCTCGCCGAGAATCGAACCTAGGCTGTCCATCTCCTAGTCACTTTGTAGCCTGAACTAGCTTATATTTGGTGAGACAGATATTGACTCTGAGCAGAGGTTTGAACACGGGACCTTAAAAATACGAAACAAGAAAGCAAATCATATAATCGACATGCCTATCCTTGCACAGTTCAACCAGTTTTTTGGAACATGTATCTGTATCATTTTTGCACCAAATTCGTCAGTTACGTTTCCACATTCGTGACCAATCAGCAGCGTCGGTTTCAATTCACAGTCCAGTTTAAAGCAAAAGCAATTTGTAACGCTGTTGCACTTTTGTAGTCCGTTGCAACTGCAAACATAACTACGTGGAATGATGTCCATTGTTGTGTGCACGTCTTGTTAAACAAACCTTTGTGTGTGGCAGCCAGAGCTTTAAGTACCACACGAAATTATCCTCTTAAAGCATAGTGGTTAATATATGTACCACCTGTGTTAACATTAAAAATCCCCTTATATTGCCCGCTTATTAAATTTGTATGTTCTGTATGATTCTCACAACAAACAGCGACTCTTTGTCTAAACACCATTAACCGGTTGGTCTTTGATCTACTGTGCTTCCCCTTTCATTAAAACCTTTATTAATCCTACATTTCAGATCCTGAGCCAGAAACAAATAAAGTAAAGCTTCGATAATCCGGTAACTGTTAATCCGGATCGAAATAAGAAAAATGGAAATGCTGTTCACAGTTGAGTACATGCTATAAAATACACATGACATTTATAAGAAGGCAGATCAGTCACTTGTCTGTTCAGGCCCAACTTGAGACATTTTCTTCAAACCTGCATTATTGCGTTCAGAACTAATTACAACTTCTGAGTTTTCTATCGCTGAATAAAGTATTGACTTTTAATTATTTTTAATAAAGGCTTGACACTGACTTTTTTTATTTATTTTCATCAGAACTATATACATCATTAAAATTTTGATTTATTTGTGTTCTAATTTTTATGATTTTTACGGCTACCTTTTGCTTCGCTAATCCGGATGATCCCCCCAATCAATTACTCCGGATTAGCGAGGGTTTACTGTAACTGAATGATATGATCGGCCTCTGGCAAAAATGCCAGGGGAAGCTTTGCACGTTGGGCCCTGTACTGATGCGACCTGCCAGTTCCATTGGCAATCTTAGCTAGCTTGCAGACATTTCCCTCTGTTTCTCTCCTTGTACCCACATGTGAGGGAAATTTTATGGGGGGTACATTCTTCCTCCTTGTGGCCAATCGCGACGCAGGTTTCGTTCGTTGTCCTCTGTCCAGAAGGAAATTCTGTGAAGATTACAAATTGACACTTCATGCAATTAAAGTAATTAAAAAGAATGTATCATTAAACATAAAATCAAACATCTCAGACCCTTGTCACAAGCCAGTATTTCTTACCACTCTAAAAACTATGCTCTTTCTCTTCCAAAAATTAAGCGCCTCTCACCCCTTCCACGACTTTGCCGCTTCATTTACTCTGCCATTACTTTTGTCGCCTCACTGTCACAATAATACGAATTTACATGCATTTCTAAGTTGAAAGCTTCTTGAAGCCACTCTGATGCATTATTTCGAACTCTGTCCCTCGCCTAAATTTATCCGAACCACAACGTTTCGAGAATTGCTTTTATTTCCTTCTTCAAATCACCAAACGAAAGCAAACACAATCTGCTGGGCAGAGCTATTCCAAAATAGTTCCGGGGTCCACCCGACCTCTTTCCCAACAAATAACGGTGACCCCTTTCCCGGGGATAAAGAAGGAGGAGCACGAAGCTGATTACTCACCTCCATTGAACTCTGAGGTTAAGAATGCTTGGAGTTATATCTCCACACGTCTTCATAATGTGTTGTTTTAAAAAAATTGATACATCCTGTGAATGGTGCTTAAGACGTCAGGGACTTCCCCAACTTGAGGTCACACATTTGTTGATACCTCCACAGGCATCATGGGTAAAGTATGTAATAGACGCATGCTGGGTGAACTGAGTAAGGCAACCATGGGAAAGCTGTGCAAAAGCCCATGACAACGGCGGACAGTTAAGTCAAGTGAAATCAAGTTCAGATCTGGAAAAGTGGGCGTTGTGATGTGGGCAGACCTACGTGGAGGGGGTCTGGGGGCGCAGAGAAATCACAGGAGATGCTGGTCGCCCACAGTGAGAAGAAAACCCGTTGCCCACATTGTGGAACAAGTGAATCTCCAGTTCGGAAGTGACGTGTGCTGAGGAGTCCCCAACAAGGTAAGCAGACATATTAACTACACTCGCATTGTGGTATCACGGTTAATTTATTTAATAGCACAAGGCCCGAATAATTTTTTTCCCCCCAGCTACAATTTCCACAAATAAGCTCTGCATTGACCACTCTTATTACTAACCTTTTAAGTATTGATCGGTCACTTAAGTTACTGCTGGCCCTCACCAGCCCCGACATTCCTGCCTTCAAGTCTCCTCAAGATCCGTGACAAAGACATGCATGTGCTTAAAAATTGGGCCTGCTTTTCGATGATGGGAGGGGTCGGCCTCTCTATGTAGGCGCTACGTTTGTTGTACTGCAGTTTCAGCACGAGTATATCCGCGCTGTCACGGCGTCCAGGTCACTGTGGGCTCTGTGTCACTGCACTGCACTGTACAGGGGTCGGCCTCTCTATGTAGGCGCTACGTTTGTTGCACCGCAGTTTCAGCACGGGTATATCCGCCCTGTCACGGTGTCCAGGTCACTGTGGGCTCTGTGTCACTGCACTGCACTGTACAGGGGTCTGCCTCTCTATGTAGGCGCTACGTTTGTTGCACCGCAGTTTCAGCACGGGTATATCCGCCCTGTCACGGTGTCTACGTCACTATGGAGTATGTGAACCCCTTGTCACTGCAGTGTACTAAGCAACACTTATGCAAGGTATGCAGAAGTTTCCTGTTATTACAGGCTTGTGCATCACGTTATGCCTTAACTTACGGAACTACTCTCAAACTGCAGTTAGTCAGCTGAACGGCCTTAGGCCTGACCGCCGCCAAAAGCCTCTTTCCTTCTAAATAATATATAATATTAGAGTTCGTTCCTCACAGTAAACATATCACGTCTCCGCTACAAAGACCAGCCGGTTAATGCTGTTTAGGGAAACAGTCACTGCTTATTGTGAGAACGGTAAGGAACAGTCTGTGACCTGCGCGGGCAGAATGTGGAGTTTTAATGTGTTAAATCATGATTGTATTATAAAAAGTTAAACAGTTCCGTCCAGTGTGACTGGTGAAGATTTTTCTTATTTAAATTCTTCATGCCCTTACATGTTTCGGTCATCAGCAGAGGGACATCAATACAGTTGGAAGGTACTATTACAATATACGTGTATGTTCTGAGCGTGAAAAAAAAAATATATATATATATATATAATGTTGATATTATACGATTGGATATATAATCTAAAGTTTTACAGCTACGCGGCTGTCTTAATATATTGAAAATTTTGTAATCGGTTTGTTAAGATTTTGTTAGAATTTATAAACGAAGTAGGTTCATGTCCTCTTTCTTACTACTTCTCTTGATGAGGGCCGAACGCATGCCGCCTTGTCGTTCGTGGGTTCGTTTCTCTTGTGGGTAAAATTCTAAAAGATACAATTTGCGACAGTCGGACAACAAATAATCAAAAACAAATGTTGACAGAGGAACGTCTATTTTGTTTATTTTTTATTACTTGTAGTGCGACTGTCCCAAATTGTATCTTTTCTTAAATGACACACAACAGGATGAATACTATAAAGGTGGTAAAATTCGTAACTGCATTGCCGACTGAAGCACAGATACGTGCAATGGTCTCATGGTGATCCTATTCGTAAACAGGCGTACCAATAATTCTGACTGCTTCATAATGAAAATATAGCGGCAGACGACACGATCTAAAGATTTCAGGAGCCGGGATAGCGCAGTTGGTATAGCGCCTGGCTACAGGCTGGACGACCGAGGGGTCGGAGTTCGTCTAGACCGGCTCTGGGGTCCACCCAACCTCCTATCCAGTGGGTACCGGGGACTCTTTCGCCGGGGTAAAGCGGCTGGGCGTGAAGCTGACCACTCACCTCCAACTAATGCCGAGGTTAAGAAAATGTGGATCTATACATCCACTCCTCCATACGCCTTCATGGCGTAGTGCTGAATTAGTTAAACACAGGGACAACTTTACCTTTTACGTTAGGATCTTATACGTAGATCATTTTAACGCTATATTCAACGAACGACTATGGTGGTACAGAGGCTATACAGTGATGAATGTCAGGATGACTAACTGAACCCCAAGTCCTCGGGGAAAACCTGCCACAGTTTTACTCAGTTAACCACAAATCCCATATGCCCTGAACTGAGATCGAATAGGGGCCGCCACGATGGGCAGACGGCTTAAACCGTCTGGCTACGGTCAGGTTAAAACATTAAGGTGGGCTGGATACGCATAGCGAATGAGAAAACAAAATTTGCATCAATCCTTGAGAATCTGATAGGTAAGTTATAGGTAAAGCTTTCCCTGTAACAGGCCGCGTGAGTTGTGAGATGTTGAGGCTCCCACAGTTTCTATACAATTGGTTCACACATGGTTGTGGGGTTATCAGCCTTATGTGCCGGCCGGCCGCAACTTAACCCCCAGGAATATTCCTGATACTCATTTCTTTTAAGAGGCTGACTCGGCCCCAGGGACATAGTGCGACTGGAAGGATTAGGTCAACTGAGAAAGTACAATAGCCTCAGTGGACATCGAGCCCGTGTTCTTCCGGCTTGTAGCATAGCGCGTCAGTAATCAAGAAGTTATTCGCCTTTAGTGGAATACAGAAGTTCATTACTGTGATCACGGGAACCCGCTACTGGGCCCTATGCAGAGCCAGATGAATCCAGTCCACACTCTACATGTATGCCCTTAACTGACCCCATGGAACTCAGGCCTTCTAGACAAGCGCCAGTGGCTTTGATACGCAAGAATTTCCAAACATTTTACGGAACCCAAAGTTTCATCACCATATTGACAAGAGCCCGCTACTAATTCCTACCCTGAATCAGATCAATCCATTCCATTCCACCCCATCCTATCTCCATAAGATCCATTTTAATAGTATCCTCCCAACTACGTCTAATATCCTATCTTTAAATAAAGAAAATCAGTAACCTACAGAAATGTTTTGAGGAACTCACTGTCACTGTGCAAGTAGAGAAGATGATGGGAGGGTAATATTAAAATGGATTTCAAGTAAATAAGTTATGACGACGAGAAACCGATTGAAATGTTTATAATATTGCATAAATGTTGGTTCGATATTAGGTTAGCTGTGTCGTAGTGTTCAAATTTTCAACTTTATTACGATAGTCAGTTACTTGATTGGTTACATACTTACGACCAAAAAGTTAAATAGAATTTAGATCTATTTTGATATCTGTGACCTGTTCATTTTCAGAACCTCCTGGGCCAGACGCAACAGCCGCCATGACACTGACACTATTTTTCCTGGCGGCGTGCAGTTTCCGGGTACATTGCAGCACCAGCCAAGAAGACGGGCGACGAAGCGGAGGGTTAGCTCTTCACTCAGAACCTTCCACTTATTTCATTTCTGTAATACAAAACTTAAGAGCCGAGATAGCTCAGTCGGTATGGCGACTGGCTACCAGCTGGACGACCTAGGGGTCGGAGTTCCGAGTCCCGGTGGGGGCAAGAATTTTCTCTTCTCCAAGTCGTTCAGACCGGGAGCACTGGGGTCCACCCAACCTCCTATCCAATGAGTATCGGGGCTAAAGCGGCAAGGACGTGAAGCTGACCACTCACCTCCAACTAGTGCCGAGGTCAAGAAAATGTGGATGTATATATCCACTCCCCCATACGCCTTCATGGCGTAGTGCTTAATTAGCTAAGCACAGGGACAACTTTACCTTAACATAAAACCTGCTTTCGATTGACTCCTCAGATGACTTTCGCTAATTAGTTCGAAATTATGACTACCTGACAACTTTGCCGCCATCTATGAGCCGATTGTCTACAAGATGTGGGAACCTCAACATCTCACAACCCTATGGGCCTCCATAGCACGTTACAGGGGTACTTTTACTTTTTTACTTACTTACTATAGCCTCTCAGTTGCTTGCGAAATTCTTCGTATGAAATCCAAAAGTTCATTATAGCGTTCAGTAGAGCCGCCCACTTGACCTTATCGTACCCCAACAGAATCCAGTACATGTCTCCAAAACAAATTTTCTAAGGTAACGGCAAAGTTCTCTCTGTGCTTATTTAACTACCACGCCATGAGAAAGTGTGGGATAGTGGAGATATAGCTCCACTATTATTGATCTCCGCCATAGATGGAGGTGATTGATGAGCTTCACGTTCCTGCCGCTTTACCCCCGGGGAAAGAGCTCCCGGTATCCAATGAAAAGCATGCTGGGTAAGCCCCAGAACCGGTCTGGACACTGTGGAGTAGAGAAAAGTCTCTTGTCCCTACTGGGAATTGAACCTCCAGCCGGTATCCCTTAAATATTTTCTATGATCAATTTTAATATTATCTTTCTATACACGTATATATCCTGCATGTGGTATCTTCCCTTGTAGAACAGTAACTGACACCAAGCAGCAAAACTCTTTTACAGAATAGGACACTCAACGAATTCTCCGCCTCTTATAGAAAACGAGGAATATTCATAATACCCATAGGAGCCCCAACTTAACCCTATCCTAAGCAAGATGTATCCATTCCAAATCGTAACACCCCATTTTTATATGTTTTAATATTATACTCCCATATGTGACCAGATCTAATAGTGTCTCCCCTTCAGGTTTTAAAGCATTAAGTTCTGTACGCGTTCATCATCTCCCTAGGCATGCTGCATTACATACCCATCTCACCCTCCTTGATTCAGTTCTGCACTTGGCACAAATCTGCCTCAACCAGTTGTTCTGCTTTGCCCCCGCCAGGTGGCTACCGAGTCTCGCATCACCGGCCGCACAACCACCGAACTTCATTAACGAGCTGCCGGCGGACCGCCCCAACTCACAGAGCTCATATTACGTGCCTGAAGTACCACATTCATTCCCAAAGAGGCCCATTCCTGATATATTCCCCGACAGTCAGTTCCTTGGACAAGTGGGTCAATATATCCAGCAAGGAATAACAAACCATTACATCGGAAACTTCCCAACTGGACAACAGATCTTCAACCAGTTCGCTGGAGTGCAGGGGCAGTTCTACACTCCATCTGCACCCCTGGTTACCCCGGTTAGCGGCGCCCTGGCGTCCATAGCCATGTATGATGACTTGAGATGTGTACCCAGGTTGCTGTGTGAGACAGCAGCGGGAGGGAAACCCGGGTACTCGGGCAGCAAGCAGCAAGACTCGCCCGTGCCTTTCGTCAACAGAGACACCCTCTTGTCGTAAGTGGACCAGGAGACAGTCACTAGATCCTTTTTTCATTGTATAATAGGAGCCAAAAATCGCTATACTAACCTTTCACTAAATACTTCTCCATAATTCTGTCCATATCATGATATGAGATACAGCCAAGAAACTACAAAGACAAAGAACTCCGTCCAGTGTGACTATTGAAGTTTTTACTACTTGGAAACTTAACGCCCTTACATGTTTCGGTCCCTATAGACCATCATCAGAGGAACATCGATACTTTTTGGAAACTACTATCACAATGAGTGCTTTGAGTGTTAAAATACATATACATACAATGTTTGTAATGCACAATATATAAAAAATCCAACATTTCCACAACTACAGAAACTTTCTTGGTATATTAAAGTTTTTAAAACTTTGTTACTTACACACTTACATATGGAGCTGAGCCCTTCTTGAGGAGCCGCCAATTCTGCAGCTACTCAAGAATTTCCCAGCATTTTATGGGACCCGAAGGTTCATTATCGTGTTCACAAGAGCCCCCCACTGGTCCCCATCCTGAGGCAGATCTATCCAGTCCATACCATCCCATTCTATCTCTCTAAGATCCATTCTAATATTGTCCACCCACCTACGCCTTGGTCTTCCCTGTGGTCTCTTTCCTTCTGGCTTTCCCACCAATATCCTATAAACATTCCTCGTCTCCCCCATTCGTGCTACATGACCTGCCCACCTCATCCTCCTTGACTTGATCATTCTAATTATACTTGGAGAAGAGTACAAGTTATGAAGCTCCTCATTATGCAATTTTCTCCAACCTCCTGTCACTTCATCCCTCTTCGGTCCAAATATTCTCCTCAACACCCTGTTCTCAAATACCCTCAGTCTATGTTCCTCCCTTAATGTCAGCGACCAAGTTCACAACTTTGTTATTTAAGTTAAAATTTATAAACCAAGTAGGTTCATGTCCCATCTCCTATCGTCTTTCTTGACGGGGGCTGAACTTCTGCCGCGTGTCTATCTTGAGAAGGAGATTTTTAGTATCGTCCTGTGTTTGTTTGTGGCGTACTGTGTTGCTTCTACTGTAAAAACAAGTACATATTTTAATATAATTAATATTATATCCAATTTTATTAGTACTGCAGTTCAGTGGTTGTATATAGTATATGTTGGCCATGTATATGCCGCTTTTAATAGTCGAAACATGTAGCAGAGCCACACTAGGCACTGACCTTGATATAGTTGTGTTGTGACAGTTTTAATAAAGAAGTCGTATATAATATTATATTTCAGCACCTTGTTGCACTTAGGGACTTTTATGCCATCTATATGCAACGTCGTTAATACGAAGAAAGACTAGTGAACGACGTTGCACATAAACGGCATAAAATTTCCCAACTTCAGACAGATATTTCTCCCCAGACCTATAGGTAATATAGTGTTAAATGTTTGATTCATCATGCAAGAGAGCCCGATATTGGTTAACAGGCATGGTTCAATATGTACAGGTTGCTGACGACGTTTAATTTCGCCGACACTTCGCCGCTGATGGTATTTGGACGCGCGATCCTTCTAGGCATCACCGCAAAAGGCGACCCAAGCACGTGCTTCTCGGCATATCCCAACTGTCCACGAGAACCTGATCGTCTTGTAGACTACCTCAACAACCACAATGGCGGCTTCTTCCGTTTCTTTGGGACACAACGACCGTACCATCCACCTCACCACTTAAGTCGTATTCAAACAGGAGTACCCCACTTCACTACAACAAGCCGACCTCAAGACTTCCAAGGAAACCATCCTTACCGGTTTCAACATCAAATCGCTACAAGTCTGAAACCACCATTGCCTCCTCACCAGTACACAGACCTCTTGAGGCACGAGGTATCTACATCAAGACAGACACTAGTGTTCCCAAGCAACGGAAATAACAGACAATCAAAAGGCTCAAAATTCTTCCACCCAAATGTTACAGAGAATTCAGGGGTGAAAACGTTCTCCTTCCCAACCACTGGAGACGCGAAACCTAGCCTACACACTGAAAGACTGACACTAGAACAAACGAAACACACTGCGCCCATGACGTTTCCTGACAAAACAGGTACTGGGGAATTCATACTGGATATTAAAGATGTCAACGGACCACTTCTGAATGTTTCACCGTTTCCACAGTTTGGAAGTCAATATGAAACGTCTGATTCCACGTCGAACAGAAAGGATAGGTTGACGTTTCCACAGAACGGGGATAAAACTGGTACAATGAAGTTTCCAAAAATATTCTACGAAAATTCAGTGGACAATAACAGATATCAGAAACAGGCTACATCTCTCAAGTTCCCGTCAAGGGAAGACAGGACATCAGATTACAGAAGCCAGATATAAGTAAGGAGTTCGGATTAAGCCACAAACTATTTCCAGGTCCTCTAAATATATGCGACCTATGTATGTTTTCCACTATACGATTATTATGTTAGCACTTCCCAATATCTTAGTCATATTTAAATTATACAACGTGTCTGAAGTTGAATCTCCTTCATCAGATGCAAAATGTAAGTTGAACCTACACAGTTAGGATTGTTGGCCCAGTGAACGGGACTAGCTTTGTCTATTCGATCCAACTGAATAGGATCCCTTCCCATTTTACACCTGAAGAAGGAAGTAAATCCGGCTTCCGAAACGTAGCGTAATCTAAGGCATTGGACGACGACCAACATCATAATTTTATAGCGAAAAGGTGTTTCATTCTAGGACGCATGGAACAACATTGTTGTGCTTGTCTAACATTCGCAGAAACGCCTTACAACTTCACACGAAATATCATAAGTATCTCGCGCCAAAGCAGTAAATTTTAAAAGCCATCTTAAACTAATCATTTCCAGACAACTACTAAAGTTCCATATTTATATAGATTTCGCGTGTATCCTGGTAACGCGACAGTAAATAATAGGTTCAGGATTTGATAACTCGATTTAGTGAATAATTTCACACGTCATAACTACAATTCGTTATTACACTTTCAAGATTACCCTAATTATAACACACAAAGTCTTCAATTCACAAGTAAAGACTTCACAGGTCTTCTACAAACTTCCCGTGTCTGTCTCTTACCGAGAACTGAACTGAACTGTTGGCGTTATTCTCGTTATATATTCTCTGCATGGATCACGCACAGAAAACACAGTTCTACTGTTGCATTATGAAGGCCACACAGAGAACATGTCACGTGATTTGTAGCCAGTGTCCTCATTAGTGCACTGTTACCTAGCAACGCGCAATAATATTCACTCACTGAGACGCATCTTCCATTGTTGCCTTATGTGTATTCTGTCGCGGGGTGTTTACCGGTCCGTTACCAAGCAACGCTATGGCCATCCAAATTACAATATACGTATATAAGATAGTCCAGTAAGTAAAGTCTAAGTTGGCACTAACTTCGCAAACAAGCGGCGGTCGCTCGGTCGGTATAGTTCGCTTGCGGTTTCAAGCCACGGGGTTTAGTTTTAATTGGCAAAGTGGTTAGCGTTCGGACTGGACAAGCTTGGGCACAGACTTGAACTTAGACTTCCAGGCATGGGTAGGGATATTTCTCTTCTCCATAGCATCCAGATGTGGAACGTATTTTTACGAAGGGGACAATTGACTTGAATTATAATGCAATATCAATAAAAATGTCCGTCCATATTAAATAAATTGATCGATTGGAGGTATTCTTTGTATTAAAATATTTAAGTTCTGGTGGAATCATCTTGCAACTTCGCACTCTCATAGCTCTCTCTCTCTCTCTCTCTAACTATCCCTTCTTCTTTGCTGCTTGCTTCTGTCCTGCCTCTACTTCAAGCAATACTTTCCCTTTGCACGGACTTTCGGGGAACCTTAACTACTGTAGAGAGCAAAACGGAATAGATTTTAAATGATGCTTGAACGAATCAGCTAGCCGAGAGGCAGAAATTAGTATAGTCACGGAGGTATGGACTTGACAAACGGGAAAGTTGCGTTTAATTCCCGGCAGGGGCACGAGTTTCCTCTCTTTTCCACAGGGGCCAGACCGGTTGTGACGCCCACTAAGCCGCCAGTCCATTGGGTACTGCGGGGCTCTCCATCCGGGGAAAGTAACTGTGATATTAAGCGGATCATTCACCTCCACCTAGTGCTGAGGTTAAGAATGCGTGGAGCTATACCTCCGCTTCCCAATGGCGTGGTGTTTAATAAAAGCAGGGATAGATTTTTAACTTCTCAAGAGCTCTTTGAACGTTGTGTTCGAAATGAATACATAAATGGTGGTCATGTTTTTCTGACCTCTGTCAGTAGGTTTGCATTCGAGCACCGCTAGACGAATTCCGATTAAATTTGCTACTGATATTCTGTCATTACAGGATATCCGAAAGTCGAAATTCTCAGTCTCCTACAGTCAGTACTACCAAAGCGACGGACGCAAGAACTTGTGAGTAGGTAACATGCAGGTAAGGGGGTGCCATAGCTCAAGCGGTTAGTCGCTGGCTTCAGACCGCGGCGCCCCGGGTTCGATCCCGGGTCTGGTCAAGTGGGATTTGTGGTGAACAAAGTGGCGCTGGGGCGGGTTTTCTCCGAGTACTTCGGTTTTCCTTGCCAATCTTCATTCCACCAATTGCTCCACAATCACCCTCACCTATCATCTGGGGCTGATACAATAGGCAAGAAGTGGCTGCAGTACAAGGGACTTAGTCCCACCCCACTAGCATTAAAAAAACATGAAGGTAAAGCTATCCCTCTAACAGGTCGTGGAGGCCCATAGGTTTGTAAGACGTCGAGGCTCCCACACTTTCTCTAGATAATCAGCTCACAGATGGTGGTGAGGTTATCAGCCTTACGCGCCGGCCGGCCTCCTTTTTACCCTCTGAAAAAGTCCTGGTTTTCATTTCTGTTAGAGGCTGAGTGAACCCCAGAATCATAGTGCGGCTGGAAGGGTTAAGTAAAGTGAAATTTTCAGTGACTTCACCGGGAATCGATCCCCGCCACCTTCCGGCTTGCAGTATAGTGCTTCAAACAACTACGCTACTTAAAAATGCGTTAAATTTTTAAGGTTTTTCTTCATGTCAATTATAAGATAACAAATTGGCGGTTTATCAAATTTATATTTATCTTTCGGTTTCATTTCCATAACTAATGAACCACTAGATTTAGGAAAGCCAAATTCGGCACGAAGATAGGTCACAAATATGCCTACAAATACTGTATTACATACTTCAAGTAAACATTTAAAAATATGGCGACGGTACGAATCTGTGATATCATGAAGAAAGTCGTCTTCTGGGTTTAGGCGCCGTGTATTCTTCGTTTGGCCGACGTTTCGGAGGAACGTATCGCCTCCATCTTCAGAGCAGTTGAATGGCTTGGAATGCAGAGAGCAGTAGCTACTACTCTCTGCATTCCAAGCCATTCAACTGCTCTGAAGATGGAGGCGATACGTTCCTCCGAAACGTCGGCCAAACGAAGAATACACGGCGCCTAAACCCAGAAGACGACTTTCTTCATGATATCACAGATTCGTACCGTCGCCATATTTTTAAATGTTTACTTGAAGTATGTAATACAGTATTTGTAGGCATATTTGTGACCTATCTTCGTGCCGAATTTGGCTTTCCTAAATCTAGTGGTTCATTAGTTATGGAAATGAAACCGAAAGATAAATATAAATTTGATAAACCGCCAATTTGTTATCTTATAATTGACATGAAGAAAAACCTTAAAAATTTAACGCATTTTTAAGTAGCGTAGTTGTTTGAAGCACTATACTGCAAGCCGGAAGGTGGCGGGGATCGATTCCCGGTGAAGTCACTGAAAATTTCACTTTACTTAACCCTTCCAGCCGCACTATGATTCTGGGGTTCACTCAGCCTCTAACAGAAATGAAAACCAGGACTTTTTCAGAGGGTAAAAAGGAGGCCGGCCGGCGCGTAAGGCTGATAACCTCACCACCATCTGTGAGCTGATTATCTAGAGAAAGTGTGNACCCCAACTCTCCAATATGTTCCCATGGAATAGCGCTTAATTAACTTTACCTTTAATTATTTCATGTCATATAAAAATATACTTATATCACATTATATTTTTATAGTTGGTGATGTAACTTAAAAGAAATAAATTGTTAGCAACCTGTTAAACACAGCGATAAATTTTCCTTTACACTTTGATTAGTAATAAGACGATTCAAGGGTATTTTTTTATTTATTTTTTATTGCTAGTGGGGTGTGACTAAGTCCCTTGTACTCCGGCCACTTCTGGCCTATTGTACCAGCCCCAGATGATAGGTGAGGGTGATTGTGGAACAATTGGTGGAATGAAGATTAGCAGGGGAAACCGAAGTACTCGGAGAAAACCCGCCCCAGCGCCACTTTATCCACCACAAATCCTAGTTGACCAGACCCGGGATCGAACGCGGGCCGCCGCGGTGGGAAGCCAGCGACTAACTGCTTGAGCTATGGCGTGGTCCGAATTCAAGTGTAAATCCTCTTTAGTTTGTTGGGAACGAAACATTATTAGCTTCACCTTGTCTGTCTGTCCTCGTGTTGAAGCCCAATTTCATACTAGAGACTTCTGCGAAAATTTGACATATTCCAAATGTCAAATTTATCCTGTGGATTGTTCAACGACGCTGTCAGTAACTGGTACTGTACAGAGTGTCCCCCGGGAGTAAAAGTAAGATAACCGTAGTGTGTCTGGAAGAGAGCGAATGTTGCGAAGTCACGGTACTTCCTATGCGTTTTCGTGGCGCGCCTGAGGAAGCCCACTAATATCTCATTCAGGACAGCCCATTTTCGGGTTGAGATTCGAATAGAGCACTTCTCGGATGCATTTGCATCAACCTGGTCTGTCAATTTTGGTTAAACAGGTTTACAACAACACACTTCATAGAAAAATACCACCCCCTTTCTATTCGCACATGTGGTATAACTGGTTTAATTTTTATGGGAGCGGAAAAATGTTTGGATCATAAGTTGCAAAGAAAAATAAAATATTTCCCCTCAAGAAACCTTATGTTTTACGAGATCACTAAAAAATGAAACCAGATATGCCACTATCGGTCTGCTATGCGTACTCTCCTCCAACGAAGGAAAGGTGAAGCAAGTAAAGAGTATAATTGATCGACCCTGATTATCTTCTTAAACATTAAGGGCAATGATGAACTGTGCGGAAGTCACGCAAACATGTTCCTGCTTGCGCAGTATACACCGCCTCGCCTTCTTCTCGTTGGAGGATAGTATTGTGACTTGTAGACCCATTGCCAAGTAACAGCTGTGTAAACAGGCGACTGTACAACAGCCGTTGCGAGGGAACGGCTCTATGTATATGTCTTCTTGGCAACGAGAGAAAAAGTAATATTGGAAGAGATGTTTTCTGTGCAGTCCGTGCCGGGGCTATATAACGAGGACTACGGGAACCCAGAGGATGGCACAGAGTCCATATAGTGACATGAGAGCCGTGACAGCGCAGATATACTCGTGCTGAAACTACAGTTCAACGAACACAGCCCCAGTACAGAAAGACCGATCCCTCCCATCGTCGAAGAGCAGGCCCCATTTTGGAACACGTACGTGCCTATGCGAGAATAAATATCTTGGTCATAGGTCTCAAGGAGATTTAAAGCACGAATGACTGTGCTGGCGAAGACCAGCAGTAATTTAACAGACCAATCACATGAAGAGAAACATCTGTCCTTGAAAGCCGCTACCAAGCAACGGCTAGTGAAGACTGGGAATACTTTGTGTGTAATACTTTGGAGTGTGTAATTCAGTGAGGCTGTCGCAGTTATTTATAGTTACGTTCTGTAAGTGCCCAAACCCCGTCTACAGTCGCTCGATCATGTGACAGTATATTTCATGGCCTAATTATATTGAATATGACAGGACATGTGAAGAATATTTGTATCTATGTTGCGTGACTTCCGGTTTCAGGAAGGATTTGTTCAGAACGCTATTATATATTTTGGTCAGCTTATAGAGTTAGACTGCTACTGACCCCAAAGTGCACACAATCCAGTAGTAAATCCAATAACGAAAAACAAAAGAGAAACACAGTTTTCGAAAGCTCTTCCATTGCTGGCAGATCCACCTACAGGCAGAATGAGTACTACTACATTGTGATTTGCCAGTGCACTCTGTTGTCATAATCTCAAGCAGCTCATAACGATTTTATTGCAAGGAGATATTAGGGCAGCGTAAATCAGCCTAGTGTCAGGGTGCCTTTGTAATTCTTACACCTCGTTTCCTCTCTTCCACCCCCGCCTCCTAGATATCAAGATGCATGATGAGAACCACTTCACCAGTTCAGTATAAATATCACCGGAAACTGACCGAAGAGCAGCAACCATACTAATAAAAGACAGTCGCGAGGTGCCGAAATTAACCGCCAGGGGGGGTGGTCATTTTGAATTAGAGATTATGGCGATTCAACTGATGGAACTCTTCGTGAGGGTGCAACAATAATACGAGACAGCGGGGAGGAAACATCCCCTATCTGTAATAACAGTAAGGAACTCGCAGGAAGTTATTTACTACAAGATGTCTAGGAATTAAGTGAAAGCGAGGGACAATATCGGACATATGAGGTTACAACCGCCAATATGGGACAGTCACATAACGTGAATGTTCCTTCGGTTTTAAAGACAGTAACACAGACTTGCAGAACCCGGTTTCA